CTTTTTCTCTCTCTCTCTCTTTTTCTCTCTCTCTCTCTTTTTCTCTCTCTCTCTCTTTTTCTCTCTTTCTTTTTCTCTCTCTCTCTCTTTTTCTCTCTTTCTTTTTCTCTCTCTCTCTTTTTCTCTCTTTCTCTCTCTCTTTCTCTCTCTTTCTCTCTCTTTCTTTCTCTCTCTTTTTCTCTCTCTTTCTTTCTCTCTCTTTTTCTCTCTTTCTCTCTCTCTCTCTCTCTGTAACTGCTCTACTTTTCATAATTAATATTGTCTGAAATTATACGAGTACAACATTGACCAGTTAACAGTCACGGTACTTGAGTAAAACTAAAGTTGCATTATTGTCAGTTGCAAAAATAATGGTGCTGTGTATGTTGCAAAAATAATGGTGTCATAATGGATCAGTTTTGCGAAACTGGAAATATGTAATGGAAAGACAGCTTTGTTTAATCGTCTTTAAGTAGTACAGCAGAACTTTGGTGTGACCTGGATTGAACGTTTTTCAGCATTTAACATTAATTTATGAAAGTCCCAACAATGCCTGATGCCTGTATGTAATTAATGCAATATTATTTTCTATTTAACATTGTTAGTGTTAACGCACAACCTTCATTTGGCATTCAAAATTTTGGATTTTTATTGATTTAATTTCTTCCTCCAAAATTGGAAACCACCAAATACATCATCTGACGCGATCTGTCATGCACTGCAGCCAACTGTAGTGTCGACACCATTAACAGCTACAATTATGCATCTGAATTATGGTGGTTTTGTTCTAAGTTTGCTGCTCTGGATCAAATTGTGATGTGTGGGAGTGCCTCCTCCAACCGTGTAAATTTTGCACTTGCAGATAGATGCACTTGTATGATATGATTGTTATTTGATTATGTATGGGAACGTCCATATATTTCGTAACACAAATTTACTGTATTTTAAATACCCCTCACTGTAACTTACATGTGACACATAGTTCAATCACTAACATAATTACACAATGCTTGCAACAACACCCTTGCCTCCTTCACTTTACAATAAATAAAATAAATTATACAGTTGACACAAAGTGTTTTATAAATATTTTTTGTATTAAATATTAAAATTAGATGGGAAAGAACATTTCTGATAATACATTGCATACTTTGCAATCGTGGAGGACGCATAAGTCGCAAGTTTTCTGTGCCAATTTAATTTGATTTTTTTTCCAAGTTAAAAAAAATATTTGGAAATATTTTAATTGTTTAGTGCATGACTGGAAGTAGGAATTATTTCAGTAAATGTTGAAAATAAATATCAGCATTGTGTAACACTAAACTATGACTCCCTACCTCTATGTAACACTGCCCATGTAATCAGAATAGTAATGAATATTTTTCAGTTAAGGTACTTGGATCACTGTTATTAATTGCTAAGTTGTGTATTTTAAACAAATGTTGATGTGTTATATTCTTCTCACAGTTAATTTACTAGTTCTCCCACCATGCAGAACTAACCACTTTTGTTTCCATTTTAATGGTACTTAAATACTTTAATCAAGTTCAGGCATTTTATATTATAAATGGTGCAGGGTGTTGTCATTTGAGCTTCACAGTAACTGTTATAGCAGTTGTAGCTGTATACTATGTTGGTTTTGTGTACATTTATTTGATAAAAAATGGGTATTTCATAACTGCTGTATCAAACTTCATGATGTGTCATAGGCAAGGTTGGTTTTACAAACTTTGTTCCACAAAAGGTTTTGTATCTAAAACAATTACAGAAAAGATCACTATGTGTAACAACAATTACTTGTTACTTCCAAAATTCATAATGTTTTAATATTTTTATAGGATGGATCTCACATCAAAGGTCTGATTATAAACTTCATTCATCATAATTGGCCCTCTTTGTTAAAATTGCCTTTTTTGGAAGAATTCATTACACCTATTGTCAAAGCAACTAAAAACAAAGAGCAGCTGTCTTTTTTTTCCTTGCCAGAATTCGAAGAATGGAAAAAAGAAACAAATAATTGGCATACCTACAAGATAAAGTACTACAAAGGTTTGTTTGTCCTGTTTTTTTGTTTTTTTTCTATTGATGCCTTTCAAGTAAATACTTTTTGATTTTTGTTAAAATGCACACAAATTATACATCTGTTGTCACATACAGGTTTGGGCACATCCACATCGAAGGAAGCTCAGGAGTATTTCTCTGACATGCAACGACATCGAATTCGTTTCAAATACAGTGGTCCTAATGATGATACCAATATTACAATGGTAATCAGTGTTTTCAATCCAATCACTTTTTTAGATTTTCACTTTTCAAATTATATTTTCAATTTCTTCGAATTGGAAGAAAGTTCATTGTTCATTTTTGAGAGAATTGTAGGCAATCACTTGTAATTTCAGGCTTTTAGCAAGAAGTGTGTAGAACAAAGGAAAGAATGGTTAACTCAGTGGATGGAGTCGGTGAAGCAGAGGCGTGAAATGGGCTTACCTGAAGACTACTTGTATGAAAAAAACACAAGTTTTGTGAATTATTCTGACTTTGTAAATAAGGAATTGGTACTGTTTTCAAATTCTGATAATGAAAGATCTATACCAAATGTGATGGATGGAATGAAGCCAGGTCAAAGAAAAGTAAGTAATAAATTTTAAAAGTTTGGGTGACAGGAGATAAAGGAATTTTTAGAATAGTTTCCTATTAATGAAAGGGATCAGACAATTACCTCATCTGTGACTGAATATAGATGAGCCAGGCAGTTATTGGATATTTAAAATTTGGGCTGCAAGTAGTGATGAGAGAGCCAGGAGGCGGTGCTTGCTCGCATCTGCTCATACCAAAAACATTAGCCTACTGCACCGCATGTGCTAGCAAACTTACGTGGAAATTAATGTGCTTTAGTGTCTTTGTTAAGTGGTGCAGAAACACCAAATTCACCTGATCATATACAACTTTTGCACTAACACTGATATCTGTTTCATCACTATCAAAACTTGCATCACTGTCACTGTTACTATAGTTTGTGCTGTTACTGGTAAATGATTTCTTGATATGATGCATTAAATCATTGGGCGGTGAATTACTCTTTCATTGAAATCGTTGAGAGCAGATTCCACACTCCAGCTCTTCCTTTCTTCATTCGGAGTTGAAAATGAACATGATAATCTCGATTCAATAGAATTAATTTCCTTTTTAACTCTGCAAATAGATCTTTTCAAAACCCCCATAGTAACAGCCAAGAACTGCCTTGACGTTTTTAACACTTCCTTTTGCTTCTCTCTTCATGAATTGAAATACTTTTGTAACGACTTCTCGCATCTGGCTGTGATGGACTTCCTTATAAAATTTGCTCTGAACTGGATGCATTGAATAAATCACAAACGGAACAATAATCACTTATACAGACCTTCATTAATCACATACAAATGCTTCACTCTAGAAGGATAAACAACCAACTGCAAACGGGTAACATCGTGGATACGTGAAGTCAGGGTCAATTGTTTTCTCAACTGGAGTGTGGCTGTCAACATGCTGGGAAGGGATGCACTCCCCCCTAAACCGATTAGTGAACAAATCAGAAATGAACTCTTTTGATCACCAATGCGTACCTGAACTATATACGTGCACTCATTTACTAATGCCCATCTATTAGATATGAATATCTACTCAACCTACCCCATAACTCGTACATACAGTTCTAATACAGTATACTTGCTCCATATACACTAGTTTATACACATACGGTCATGAAAGAATTACTTTTTAATACAGAATTTTTAAGCCCACTCTATAAACATCCGAATTACGTCCCCACCCACAGTCACTACACACTACACTACACTACACACTACACTACACTACACTACACTACACTATACTACACTACGCTTTCGTCGCATATGCCATATAGCCAATTGATGTAGCTTTCCACTGCACTACACTTCCCTGGAATTTTTGATGATCAGCTGTCTAGTGGATGATAGGATTGAAATTTGATATTCAAGCTTGAATACCACCAGGGCCAATTCCTGGTTTAATATTTAAATAATTAATTACATTTTCTAACATACTTCCAGCTGACTAACCCTTTGCTTTGCACACCCATACCAAATGAACAATCACTACAACCAATCAATCAATGGCATGCTGTTTTCATCATTAATATGGTCATTTGAATGAACAGATTTAAAGTAACTAGCAAACAAATTCACAATATTTTGCTCAGTGGACACTTTCATATCCCCATAAAAAACACATTGGTATACTTTTTAAGTTAACTAGACATTTTTTTTCTCATTTGGATGGCATGAGTAGGGACGAGAGGTCTGAAAATTTCTTTTAATTTTTTGTCTTGTTACTAGAATTACAACTACAATGTTTGAAATCTTCACTCAACCAGTTATATACTCAATAACTAAAATTATTAGTATGATTTTTGGCTACCAATTTCGTTTATAACCTTAGATGTTATTAATACATCTCTTTGTTTGCTGGCCCTCGAATTTTTAAGTACCACAAAGTTCTTCAAAAGGCATTTTTCAAAAAGTATTTTCTATCAAAAAGTCATCCTGTATTCTTAATAAAGCGTACTTGAAGTGAACATGTATACTTCTCTGTACATTTCTCTTTTAAATACATTGAAATGGTTTTAATGTGTTGTCATAGGCACTACCCCACACAAGTATGCTGTATCTAGCAATTGTGTAGTACAGAATTTTCTGTTGATTTTTACTAAAAATAAGATGTAGATTATAAAATAGATCAGATATAATTTGTCAGTAATATAACAAATATGCTCGTCTTTTAATTCAAATTACAATCAATAATGCCCAAGAATTGGGTATATTTTACATTCGGTATACTTTTGGGCAATGACATGTGCCATTATTCCTACATAAGTTTGAGTGTACTTGCAACTCGTTATTTAATGGTTAACTATATCCATAACTACCAAGAGTCACAAAACCAATTTGTTATATGTAGTCATAATTTTCTCTCAACCAATTTGCAATTGCACTCAGTTTAGCTTGAACTAGGTTTCTCACTTCTAGCCACAAGTTACCTTTTATGAAAACAACAGTGTCATCTGCAAAAGCTATGGTTTTACCTTTTGCCAGAACTTTGAATAAATCATTTTATAAACAATATGAAATATGGAGGGCCCAGGATAGTTCCTTGGGGAAACCCAAGTTAACTCCAGCTCACTACTAATAGTTTTATTGCTTTTAACTACTGGTTTTCGGCAAACAAGGTAGCTTTCTGTCAATAAATTCACAGTTGTGTAACTTAACAAATAACGTCTTATGGTTTACCATATCATATGCTTTTACTAAGTCCAAGAAGAAAACTGTGAGCATGGAAAATGTTCATGTATTGTACTGCAATTTTGAACTCAGCAAATCTATCATGTACATAAATACATCGTTTGTTTTCCAGGAAACCAAATTAAAAGTTGGGTATAATACCCATATTCACTCAAATAATTTCCGCTTTTTTATTTACTTTTTAATTTTTTTAAATTTTCAAATATTGGTATTTGAATATTGGAGTGCGGGTATTATTCGCGACAAGGTTGGTGCCTCAAAATTAAAGCGTGTTGCACATGGTCGCATGGCGGCGTGGGTTAGTACAAAACATTCGTCGAGGACCACTGCACACGAGCGTTGCGTTGACGCGCGTCACTTATCGCTTGTGATGTCAGCTGCGTGGATGCCTGCCGCACACGAGTCATTTAAGGCGCGTCGTAGATAACCAGTATCTGCGAAATGACACACAGGCGCTCATGGCGATGTACGTTACGCCCACAGCTGAAGGAAGACGCTCAAGTCGCAACATAAATCAAGATAACACGCGTTTTCTAGCTTTCAAATCGACGTCCGCAGGGACGCACGTTGGCAACAGCGCTTATGTGCCCAACGCCAACTATAGAATAATTTCACATAAGATGGTGTTAATCTACGACGCGCGTTAAGTGACTCGTGTGCGCAAGCACCGACGCGCGGCGACGCTGGTGACGTCACCAGCGAGGTGCAATAATGTTCACCAGTCACACTAATAATCATTGCAATCATTCTGTAAGTTCAATAATTCTGCAAGTTCGCGAAAGAGAGCTTTCATTGTGAAAGAAAAATTGCGTTTGTTAGAAGAAGCGAAACAAATTTGTAACAGTGCAGGAGGAAGGAAGTATGATGTGAATGAAAGTTAAATTGGTGATTAGCGTTAGAACAAAACACCACTTGATTAATTTTCTTTTATTGCAGATGTGGGATTGTGTTTCAATGTTAACAATGTAATAAAGTAATAGAACTCTTTTCTGCCATAAAAGTGGAGGGGAATTTCTCCCTCTCTCTCCCCTCTCTCTCTCCTTCTCTCTCTCCTCTATCCCCTCCTCTCTAAAACTCCTCTTCTCCCCTCTCTCTCTCTCTCTCCCTCTCTCTCCTCTCGTCTCCTCTCTCCTCTCCTCTCCTCTCTCCCTCTCTCTCCTCCTCTCCTCTCTCTCTCCCTCTCTCCCCTCCTCTCTCCTTCCTCTCCCTCTCTTCCTTCCTCTCTCTCCCTCTCTCTCCTTCTCTCTTCCCTCTCTCTCTCCTTCTCTCTCCTCTCTTCTCCTTCTCTCTCCCATCTCTCTCCTTCTCTCTCCCTCTCTCTCTCTTCTCTCCCCTCTCTCTCCCCTCTCTCTCTCCTTCTTCCCTCTCCTCCCCCTCTCTCTCCCCACCCCCTCTTCTTCTCCCTCTCCCCTCTCTCTCCCTCTCCCCTTTCTCCCTCTCCCCTCCCCCTCCTCTCTCCCTCTCTCCTTGCTCTCTCCCTCCCCTCTCCTCTCCCCTCCCCTCTCTCTCCTCTCCCTCTCGCCCTCCCCCTCTCTCTCCACTCTCCCCTGCCCCATCTCTCTCCCCTCTCCCTCCCCCTCTCACTCCCTCCTCCCTCCCCCTCTCTCTCCCTCTCTCTCTCCTCCTCTCTCTCCCCTCCCTCTCCCCTGCCCCTCCCTCTCTCTCCCCTCCCCTCTCATCTCCCCTCCCCTCTCTTCCTCTCCTCCTCCCTCTCTCTCCCCTTCCCCTCTCTCTCCCCTCCCCCTCTCTCTCCCCGTCCCCCTCTCTCTCCCCTCCCCCCTCTCTCTCCCCTCCCTCTCCTCCCTCCCCCTCTCTCCCCCCCCCCTCTCTCCCCTTCTCCCCCCCCTCTCCCCTCCTCCTTCTCCCCTCCACTTCTCTCTCTCCCCCCGCCCCTCCTCTCTCTCTCCCCGCCCTCTCTCTCCCCCCTCCCTCTCTCTCCCCCTCCCTCTCTCCCCTCTCACTCTCTCTCCTCCCTCTCTCTCCTCTCCCCTCTCACTCACTCCCCTCTCACTCACTCCCCCTCTCTCCTTTCTCTCCTCTGCTCTTCGTGAGTCATTTCCATAAAACTAGTTTGCGGATTTTCTTCAAAGGATGTGATCATTAGGGTGTATATGGTATTGTTTGGTGATAAAGTATGTTCTATTTTTTCAACCCTTGTGGGTAGATCTTAGCATAGTGTGATATCAGTAATATGGGTCTATGATATATGTAATTAGTTGTCTTTTGAGTATTTTGAGAAAATTTATAATTTAAATAAAATTGTGAAATAAATTTTGGTGTATTTAATTATGGTTGTCAGAAAATAAAAAGGGAACTGAAAAATATATAAAATCAAAATATTGATTGAAATAGGAACAACCAGATCAAAGCTTGTATCTTGGTAATGTTTGTATTAATTACACCATATTACTGGATTTGTCATGAGCATGTAAGTGACAAGCTTAAAAAGTTGTCCTGGTTACAACCAGAAATATTAGATTTCATATAACAACAAAAGAGTTAATATATGTCCAACTTGTGTTGCAGGTATTGTTCACGTGCTTCAAAAGAAAAGACCCAGAAATTAAGGTAGCCCAGCTGGCAGGATCAGTTGCAGAAAAGTCTGCTTATCACCATGGTGAAGTTTCATTGATGGGCACAATTGTGAACTTAGCTCAGAACTTCGTTGGCAGTAATAATATCAATCTTTTGCTACCAATTGGTCAGTTTGGTACTAGACTTCAAGGAGGAAAAGATCAAGCCAGCCCTCGTTACATTTTTACCGCTCTGAGGTAAAGGGATACTGTTTTTTGTGTGTGTTCACAAAATGTTGAAAGGGATGCATTTTTAATGTCTAGGGCTATTGAGTGTCATCCAACAAATACATTGGTAGTGTGAATAAAAACCTAGACTGTACTTAGTTTTCTTTCTGATACTGCTGAGGTAAATTAACTAGTGTGTAGTTTCAGTATATAGTATTTCATGAATGCTTAAATGACTAACAAATTCATGTTTAGTGAGTAAATATATTCAACTTTAACAAATCTAAATGTCAATTTGGTTGCTTATTAGTTCCACATAATTCGTAAATGAATTTGTGAATACAAGTTACAGAAAATTAGGAACTCGTCTCTCAACTCCAATAGTTTGGTTATTCGACATGGTTTAGAGTAATTTACACATTTTCTCTCAACTATTTTTAATTAGATTGTCAGTATTACATTGTCAGAATTACATTGTAGCGTTTTCAATTCTTGTCTTTAGGCGACTCCACACATTTGGTATTTGGCGAGTAGCAAGCGACCACTCTCCGAATCCCACGTAGTATGGGTGGGTCATTTGCTATTTACAGAGTGACAAACATTTGGTGTTTGCCCTACTGCATGTGAGTCTTTTGCACACATGTAGTGAATATTTGCAGAACACATCAGCTGCTCGGGATTGGGCAAATGTGCATCTTGGCAAATGCTGAATGTGTGGAACCGCCCTTGTATTGCTGCGGCAAATTGAGAGTCGAGCTCTTAGTAATGTATCGGCTATAAAATCAAACAGGACTAAATAAAATTGGACTTGGGGAACCAGTGTTGAGTTAGAAATTGCAACTTTACCTTGTGAGAATAATGATAAATACCTAATTATTTAGTCATTTAATTGAATCATTGCCTGTTGCAGTCCACTGGCAAAATATATCTTTCATCCAGACGATGAACCCTTGCTGACACCCCAGTATGATGACAATTTAAAAATTGAGCCAGTGTATTATGTACCAATCATCCCAATGGTGCTCGTAAATGGTGCTGAGGGAATTGGAACTGGATGGTCAACAAAAATTCCTAATTTTAATCCATATGTCATAATTAAGAACATTCAAAAAATGTTGAATGGAGAAGAACCTGACTCAATGGTAAGATGCAGAAAATAAACTACAGTATTTCAGAGGGGTTATGTTTTTCATACTTAGTTATATTTTTACTTCTTGAATATGTATGTGCAATAAAAATATGATAATAATATTAAAATTTTAAAGCATCTATTGTTTGTTGAGATTCAGACTATAAGGCGTGAAGTAGATATTTCTTTGTAGTACAGAGTGGTGGGGTGCGAGGGTGTGCGTTACAGTGTACGATATTCTATGAATGTACTGGACAAATATCAATGAAGCTTGCTAGGAGTACGATAGGCTATAATTTACAACCACAAACCATTATGATTTCACAAAGTAATTACATTTCTGGACTTTTTCTGTCTAGCATTACATCACAGATTCAAGAGTGCACCAGAGGATGACGACTGAGGTCTAAGTTAGAGTTCATTAATGCACAGAATTGCATATTTGTGGGATATATGAGGAATGTTTGTTGATTTTTATCATCAATTATCTAATTTCAGATGTTCATATTTAACAATAATTCTGACAGTTTTTCTTCACTCTGTTTATAAAAGTAACCTGGATATTGATTTATAATGCCTAGGAGTATTAAGTGTACAAGAGTTGTATATATACTGAGTATACTAATTCACATATTTATTTATTCAAAATTAAATTCAACAGGTATTATGGCCAACAGTATTACAAACACATTACCTGTCTTGGGCGTTTACATACTGGTACACATTGCGCAACAAGGACACTCCACAGTCGCTAAACATGTCAATTGAAAGTGCAGAGCACATAACAAAATCATTGACATACAATGACATACAAAATATTTTGTCAGAAACTTACTCTTGTATGCTTTTATGACTACTTAACCTTGGTGCAATTGAGTTTAATTACTGCAAGAAGCAGTGTGTGTTCTCACAAAAATATAAAATGAACACAAACATAATTTGAAGCAGTAATAAAGAATCACCCGTAAAGAACTTTGAATTATCTTGGTTGAACATTTTTCTCTTTAGTTGTAAGCTTTCTTCAATTTCAAGCAATTACCCTTCCAAATTATCCCATCCAATAGTTAGAAGTGTTTTCTTTAATAGAAAATGCAAGTTAAATGTATGCAATAACTTCCTAACATCGTTTTCAGTCTCTAATTATGTAAGGCAGTTCTTACAACAAACTCAATATATACATTCATACAGCGCATTAGGTAAGAAGAAATAATACTTCACTGTACATTTAGGAATGAAAAGCCACATAAACTGGATCATCAAAAAAGACAACGTTAGTGAAATTAAAATCTTTCTTCCATCTTTCATACAGGGAGGAAAAGAAAGATAAGAAAAAGGTTCCATTAAATACTAGATTGTCTTAAAATTATATTGCTTATTTCTTGCAAAACATTCTGAACATTCACGTGCTTGAAAGTAAAAAGAGAATAAATGAATGAAATAAAAATACGAGATAAAAATAAGCACAAAAGAATAGAAAAGCGGAATTATGAATTACACAGCAAGAAGATAAATATTAATTGTAAAGAATCTTTAAAGGATAACCACAAAAAAAAATATTTTAAAGGAAAATAATAATAATGATAAAAACAACATTAATAATAATATTAATAATAGTAATTGATAAAAGTATGTTTAGGAGAGACAATGTAGTACAAAATATGTAATATACTTCTAATTGCCGGTAACATAAGTTACAACACTAATGCTTCTAGCCAATTTTCAACATTCAGATTACAAGCATTACTGTGTAAAGTACTTGTATGTATAAAAAACTTGAGGACTTGCTTAATCTTGAGTTAGCTGACAGTAAAATTATTCAAATTAGCAGTGTCTAAAATCTGTCAAATTCTTTATCCAATTTCATTAGTTATAGAAAGGGATGAACGCATCAGCATCTCTTCACTATCTTGGGTACATTCCCTCGTAATTGCACCTTGTACTGTGTTTGTGTGTGTGTGTGTGTGTGTAATATATATGGGGATATGTTTTTCTGTTAGTTTCCTAATTTTATCTGTATTTTAAATAATGGCATAAGTAGTACTTTACCTTACTCAAAACCCAAATTGGTAGGCATTACTGACAATACGTTTGCTTCTAAAACTTTGAAATTTGATTTTCAACATTTCATTGGAAATTTTCACAAAATTTGAGATCAACGAGATTTATCTATAATTAATTGCTTTATCCTCATCTTCACTTATAAGCTTAGCTTTTGCTTCAGCTTTTTTAAAATGATTGAAAAATTTCCGATTTCCATAATCAAGTTAAACATATAAGCTAGCGGGTTAGATATACAGTTTGCAATACATTTAATTACTGTAGTTGGAATATAATCTATACCAGCAATATAATCTATACCGATTTTGTAGTATTTAATGTTTTTATTTTTTTGTTCATATTTATGAAGGGAATAGAAATAAGGAAATCTTAATAAGGTCATATTCATTTGAGCATTGCTAGAATATCAATCTCAATTTTACCTGCCATTTTGGGTCTTTTTTGTACAAAAATGTATTCAAATAATTATCAATTTCAGTTTCATTGTGAATATCAGTTGAGTTTGTGCAGAAAATAATGTTTAAATGATTTTCTTTCTGTTCTATTTTTCCCCAGATTAATATGTATAAAATTCCATAGAAATTTATCATCTCCATTGCATATCAGTAGTAGTATCAGAAATAATAATTCTATGATTTCCTCATATAGATCCCTTGGTACAAGAACTTTCGGGGCACGATTGAACCATATGGTGGTAGCCGCTATGCTACTTTTGGGGAGCTGGCAACTCTGAGTGAGAACACTGTGGAAATTTCAGAACTTCCTGTTGGTGTGTGGACTGAAAATTACAAGAATAATGTGCTGGATGTAATGTGTGGAGATGGAAAAACTCCTGGTGTAATAACGTAAGGAATCATTTTATAGTGAACATTTTATGAAACATACTTAGTCTGCGCAACTTTACCTGTGTTGTACCATACTTGTCATCTTCGTTGTGTGATGACAATGTGCATATTGAATTCATTATAAACATAAATTGAAAATATGATGTGCTCCTTTTTTTCTCAGGGGCTATAATGACTATAACACGGATACTACTGTACGTTTTGTTGTTCAGTTACCTCCTGAGAAGCTGGTCAAAGCAGAAGACGAAGGCTTACATAAGTTCTTCAAATTGCAAAACACAATGAGTACTGCATCAATGGTAAGGTTTTAAACTTGCATTGTCAGTATGTTGTTATTTCACTTCAAGAGGCATTATTGAAAAAATTCAATAGTTTTAGTTCTTGTAGTCTTTTTGTCCTGTTGTTGAAGATTTGGGATGCATACAGTAGTGGTCTGGTCATCTAAAGAATTCTCAATTCTGTAAGACATTTACATGCTGTGTTCATTCTCGGCACAGACCCAACAAGGTATTTATTTTAAAATAGAGATGTTCACAAAGCTTCATTTTTGTATTAAATAGTGCTATAAAGTTTTTAAAGTACACTACTGCATTGTATTGCATATGTAAAAATCCTCATTGATAAGAATTGAAACATGTTTCAGCCATAATTGTTTCATTTATCACTGAATTTACTGTATCTTGAATGCAAACTAAATTCAAAGGCTTAGCAAAAAAAGTTTGTTTTCAATGCAAGATCAACATTGGCACTAATAAAACCATTTTAAAAATTGGTTTAGGGGTGCCATAAACCTCATACACACCCCACTTTTGGCCTGTTTTCACTATTTTTAGAAAATTGCAAATAAATATTATTTAATGCTATTTTTATTAACCGATGCTGAGGTGCTGCCCATGTTGTCCGGCCACAATTTTATGACCAACAAACATTGCTTATTTGACTCGAACAGTGTGCCACAGAAAAAGACATTTTTCAAAGAGCCGTAAATATTTATGAAATATACTTGTAATTTAGATAAGATTAAAGTTTGAAATCTCTATTTTAAGAACTTTGATTCAAACAATTTAACTATTTCATTGCAATTGGCTAAAATTGCGGATTTCGCTATCACAGTTAAAGGCTTATAGCTGCATTGGTGTCTGATTTCTTTATTCACTGGTGGGCTGCTTTGAACATATTTGTGGAGACCTCAAACGAATTTGGAAGTTACTAGAATTTATAGAACACTACATGGCATTTGGAATCTCATTAGATATTTTTTTCCTCTTTGTTTCGGAGCTTACAACAGTGCCCATGTCATCGCATCCACTGGCATGCACTGTCTGGGACCATGCCACTGAAGTAGACACACTTGTTAATGCAATCTGGAAAGCTATCCTAGTCTTTAATAAATCTTAATCTTATAATCTATACTACAAGAATAATAACTTCATATGGAACAAGAAAAGAAAATTTGGAAATTGGACTTAACAAGTATTGGAATTAAATTTTGCAGCTGAGATATACAGAGTTGATGCAGGGGGAGGTACTATCACAGGACCTCTTATCTCAAAATAAATACCAGGCCATTAATTGAGAAGAATTGTAGTTGAAGTTTACACCACATTCAAAATGCAAGCTTGGTTCCCTTCCCATTCTCATGCTGTTGAGCGAAATGTGGAAATATTTACCGAAGCTAATCTATGTCTGCAGATATGATGCAAGACATTTGAAAATAATAATAAGGGGCGGATTTTGATGACCTACAACATTCCCAAAAATGATCAATGAAATGCTCTTAGTGTTTTCAAAAGTGCCATAAAAACAAGGAAAAATGACACAAAAAACCAATTGGATGAACGACTCAAGCTGGATGCGTTACTGATGTAATCAAGGCTTCTTTAATTCTTGAAGTACACTTACCTTGCAAGCTTTTTGGTTTTGTCTGTCTCTTCCAGGAAATCTATCTTTAGTTATCCCGAAACTGGCCAAACCAACACTGGCAATGATAGTTCACTGCGAACCAATATTACATACAACAGTTGCCATTACAATCCTGAACAAAGAAATCTAATAGCTCTCAGGAATTCTTGAAACATTGTTGCAACTCGTAAACATTGAAGCAAAACCATCAAAATGATATTAAAATCGATGAAAAAACAAAAATGCATTAGAAATTGGAAAATAGTAAAAAAAATACTCATTAACTAAATCATTAAAAAAGTACAAAAGTGGGTCATTTGCTTTGTCATATCATAAAATTAATTTCTATACTAAATTGCATTATTCTAAAGAGAAAAGGGAAAAAAATTACATTTCATTAAAATCCACCATATAATACCACCATAAAATCCACCATATAATATAATATGGTCAAGGACATCCATGCCATCCTTTGAAACTGTAATAGTAATTTATGTTTTAAGGACAGAAAATTTTAAGTGAGATTATTCCAACCCAGGGAGCGTTAAGAGCTCCCTACAATCTCCCCCACAATCTGGATATCTACAAAACTCGAACCGAAATTGATAAGACGTGTCCTCCTTAGTGAATTGAACTCGTCCAGAATGGAAATTTCTACTCTGAACATTTTAAAATGGAATTGAAAGATAAAGAGATGCTTCCGAAAGCGATAAGGGATAAATAAAATGAAGTAATTGAACAATTAATACCTCAGAAATAGTGAGAAAAGTATAAAAAGAATGTGAACAATAAGTAATGTTTGTTGGTCATAAAATTATTCCCGGATAACATGAGCACCACCTAAGCCAAAAGTCAATTAATAAAAATACCATTAAATAAGATTTGTTAGGTATTTTCTAAAATGTAGCAAAAAATTCTAATAATGAGTTTTTTATGGGATTTGGGCACCCCTAAATCGATATTGAATAGGAGGTTATGAGTGCCAATGTTGTTCTTGCATCGAAAACTAACTTTTTTCACAAAGGCATTGAATTCTTCTTCTTCTTTTTTTTTCTTTTCTTTTTTTCCCCGATACAGCCTCATAGACACGCATGCACGCACACACACACTCACACACGCACACTCACACACGCACACGCACACGCGCACACACGCACACACACACGCGCACACACGCGCGCACACACACACACACACACACCCACACACACACACACACACACACACACACGCGCGC